CTAAAATGAACACAGAGGGGAGCTGAAAGTCACCTGAGAAATCCCTGACACCGACCTCCTCTACTCTATAGCTAAAGCTCACGTGACAGCTCAGAAAGGTCTCACCCAAAGCCTTAATTAAGTCATTAACCAAGCCAAGAGAGACCTACACGCTCTTGCTGTCAGCTGCAGGTTGTTTCACACTGCTGCTTCTCCGGGGAAGAGACCTGTTCCCCGCACCTAACAGGACTTGTTGAGGACAGGCAGGGGTGCGCAACCCGGACTCAGTCTAGCCCTCCATACCACCCACAAGGCTAAGAATTCCATGCCAACCAAGAACATGCACGGCAAGACACAAGACCGATGTCTCAGGAAAAAGGGGAGGCACGTAGGTAACGACCGAAGACCCAACGGTACCTGTATCCACACTCCCGCCTCCTGAAGACCTACAAGCTCCTCAAATGCACACTATGCTTTGATTTATGTTTGCCTCTATGAATTCAAAAGTCAAACATTTTTAAAAATCAGAACAGAGATTTTATTAATTTTAAAGAGAATAAAAAATTTTTTTAAACTTTAAAAATACAGAATTTCAAAACAAGAATGACAGGAAATTAACAATTTCTGTCAAATCAACAGACATTTTTAAGTTATTCTCAAATTATGAAGCAAAGAGTTCAGTGTCTAATCACTCTGGGTTTAAATGAGCTGGCACTTTCCCCCAGAGAGCTGAGTAGAGGGGGACCAGGATGAGATTCACACATGGGCATAGATTTTCTGCAAGTAATACAGGGCAACCGTACCATCACCCCTACATGTTCCTTGGAAACTCATTCCCCCACACTTATGAGTAAATTTAATTTTAACACTGATACTCTAGGCCATCGTCAGAGATACCTATGAACAAATAAGTTAAAACTTTTTCTCTTTTTTTTTTTTCAAAGTGACCCCTAAGCCTCTAGCTACACAAAAGCAAATTAGAACAAAACATGCCCCAAAATGGTCCATCTTGCATATAGAAAAATAAACAATGAGTTCCTACCTCACTCTTAACAGACAGAGGTGGGCTTTGAAACTTCCTGTTCATCACTGTGTACTGGACCAAAGCAGTCTGTGAACTACCAGAGAGAGCAACAGGGACTTTCTCCTCAGCACAGCTTGGTATTTCTGAGAAAACCCAAATGATTTCAAATGCAACCAGTACTTCCAATTCCCTAAGTATCATAAAAACTATAGTATTACTGTGAGATTAGTCAACCCCTTTCAAATTTTAAACAAAATATAGATAACAAACATAGCTATTTCCAGGACATGTTTGTTTCCTATCGCTCACATGCCTGTTCTTCACTGGTGCTGTCAAGGCTTTCGGGGGATCTCCTCGGCCCTCTGGCTGGCTGAGGGCTCCCAAAGCCTACTGGTCTCACCCCATCTTACTTTAACTGATTCTCACAGAGTCTGTCCTTCACCCCAGAGATACATGAACTTCCAAGGGAAGGCAGCTCTCACAAGGGCCTCTCTGGAAGCCCACCTCTGGAATAACCAATGACCAAAGACAAACTATCTCATGGTCAACTTTGGAGGAAACACTCAGGCCAAATAAAATGTCCCTCCCCAAAGTTGTTTTACCACCATATCACCAACCACAGAACTCCATCATCCCCACACTCGCTGACTGCGTAGCATACAAGAGCAAAACTAAAGCTGCACAGGAGAGGCCAACACCAAAAGAAGCAGAGGGCTGGCCTCAGAGAACTCCACAAGCAAACTCTTCCATGTTTTAAACTTTAACAACAAAGGTCGGCAAACTTAGTCTGGAATCATTTTGGCTTTGTGGGCCATTTAGTCTCTACTACAACTGCTCAACTCTCCCATGACAGCAAAAAAGCAGTTTACGATGGTAACAAGATTAATCAAGATTATAACAAGATAACGGGTGTGGCTGTGCACCAGGAACTTCATTCACTGCAGCAGGTAGTTAGCCAGCAGGCTGCAGTTCACCAACCCTGTTTGAAATTAAAAGCTGATATAGAGTCTAGATCAGTGCTGGCGAACCTATGTCACACAGGTGTGGATTTGCTTTTATGACAAAAGATGCTAATGGTGAGGGTTTTTTTTTTTCTAAACTAAACCTCAGTATTCAGGTTTCATCACAGTGTTGGCACTTAACAATAAATAAGTGGGCTGGGGGCGCAGTACGGGCACTCATCTCCAACAGGTTTGCCATCACTGGTCTACATGCAACTGAGTTATAAAGTAAAGGAACTCTAAAGACAGGAGAACAGCAGTGCATCTGGCAGCTACTTAGCAGCCGGCACCTCCCGAGGGGAGAGGACTCCTCACCTTGTAGAACACAGCTGCCACCACACACAGCAACGAGAGCAACAGGAGCCCGACTTTTCCTTTGTTGAACTGTTTCAGCAGCAAAACCTTCGCCAAATTCACCTTTGACTGGCTGTTGGGTGGATATCTGAGTTTGTTGGCACCTTCTCTCCTCAAACTTTTTAATAAACAGGAACGATAATGAGAAAAAGTATCAAAACTGTACTTTCCATGATATGCTCCCATCCCACTGGAACCTGAAATAAAGGAAACAGAGGAAACAGGTTTCAGGGCAGAGGCCACAGGCTACCTCTTCATCAACAGAAAACCCGTATGTACACTGCTGCCTGGGATGTGCCAACCCAACTTCTCCGTCTCTTTTGAGGAAATCCTTCCAACTTTACCCCTGGCATAGCCAACATGCCTTTCAACTAGGACACTTTCTTAGAGCAGGGCAGGAATTTACAGTCCGTCTAGGCTTGTGGTTCTCCTTTATGCCAGGAACTATGCTAAGAGAGTAAATGAACTCTCTATGATGATTTTCACCACACCCCCACTGTGCTGTTATCTTCAGCCCAGTTCCTGAAGAGGGAAAAGGAGCTTACAGGATCAGTTAACCCGTCCAAGGTCATATCCCTAGCAAAACCTGATGCCAGCCTATGAACCCTGATCAGTCTATCTCTCAAGTTCAAAGCGAGCTCCTTTCCCAGTTTTCCATGCAGCTTTATCATCCCTGGTCCCACCTCAGCCACTTGCTTCCTCTATCCCCTGGACAGTTATGATGACCAAGATGACAGGGTCATGCAGGTGCATCATAAGCAAGCAAAAATCTCTACCCTCTAAGAAGCCAAGCTTTGTGACAATTTTCATTTCTCCCACTGCACAACAGACTGACAGGTGCAAAGGGAAGAAAAGGGAGCAGTGTGCTGGGCAGGGGGACAAGCGGAACTGTGACACGGTGGCAGAAGGCAGGGCGATTGGAGGTGCAGGCAGTTTACTGGGCCTGGGCGGGTGATGCAGCAGCTAAAGATGCGGGAAGGAATGATGCAGGAAGCAAAGGCCAGTGGCGAGTCCTGAGAGACTCTGACCCTAAGGGAGGGCAGAGCAGCCAGCCACAGACACGATCATGGTAGGAAGTAACTGGGGGAAATGTAGGAAGTGCTGAAGGAAGAAGGGCTGGGTGAGAGCCGGGGATATCGCTTAGCAGCATAAGTGCCCACCTGGGAGCACAAGGCCCGAGTTCAATCACCAGTACCGCCAAAAAAAAAAAAAAAACACAAAACACAACAGCAAAAAACTGGGTGAAAATACTTAGATGAAAATAGAAAGTAAAGAATCAATATGACGAAAACTATAAAGTTTTATTGATGGACACTTATATAAATGAAGAGATGAAATATATTCCCCATAAGACTCCACATTTTAATGATATAAATTCTTCCCAAAATAATCTGTTAAGTTTAAACAATTTTAATCAGAATTTCAAGGGATTTTTAAAGGAATTCTTTTCTTTGACCAGGAGAAGGTAGTGAGTGATTTTAAAGTTCACATGGAAGAATTAATTTAGCTAATAGGCAAGAACACATTGAGGGACAGGGGTACAGCTCAGTGGCACAGCACTTACCAGGCAAGTGCAAGGTCTCGAGTTTGATTAACAGTACAAAAAAGAAAGAAAGAAAATTAAAAATGAGAGACTGACTTTCAGATATTACAGCAGTATTGTTCCTGAGGAGCAAACCACTGGACTGGCTGAACAAGTGAGCTTTAGAGACAGGCAACTTAGACTCGGCCCCTAGTTCTTGCATGCATTCAGCACAGTACTTGATATACATACTAAATGCTAGCTACAAAGCCAACGATAAGGCTGCTGGAATTAAAACCGTGGCCCTGGGCCGGAGAAAGACAAGCTAGAAAGACAATGAAACCAAAGAGAAAACCTGACGAATGACACAAACATGTATTTTTATTGAATACAGATGATTTAACAATTATCATTTTTTAAAAATGGCCCCACCACCGGTTACTCTTTGGAAAACAAAATGTAGACTGTTACCAATGAATTATTCCAAAATGAATTCCAAAGTTAAATGCAAAAGAAAAAACAGAAAATTTAAAGAAACTACAAATGAATATTTATATAATGCTGAAGCAGGGAAGCCCTTTCTAAACCAAATAGGAAGCCAAAGATCTCATGGGGCCACAGTTAAACTGAAGAGACAAAATAAACCTGGAAAGAAATATTTGTGCGAGGTGATCAAGAATTTTCTTACTTACAAAAGGCCACTCACTTACCAAGAGGAAGGGTCAACACAGCAACAATTTCAAGTAAAGGCTATAAATAGAAAAGCATTTGAGAACTATAAAAGTTTAACCTCACTTTAATCTCAATTAAAGTGAGATACTTTACTTGTCCAGTAATTTCATAATGGATAACAGTGTTGGGAAATAAATGGATACCTACTCTTATATCACTGACAGAAGTGTAAAATGATATAATCTAAACTGCATGTCAAAATATTAATAGGAACCTGGAATGTTATTGCATGTTTTCCTTATAACATTGTGATATTACATTTGCTTAACTGCTTAGACTGTTAAGTATGATGCTTTTAGAATTAGAGCTCGGCATAGTGCACACCTATAATCCAGCACTTGGGAAGCAGAGGCAGGAAAGACTCACCAGGAGTCTGAGGCCAGCCTGGCCTACATAGAGAGCTCAAGGCCACTGTGGACTACACAGAGAGATCCTGTCTCAAAAGCAAACAAAAAATCAATAAATAAGTTCAAGGCCATCCTATGCTACACAGTGAGTTCAAGGCCAGCCTAAACTACATAGTGAGATCTTGTCTCAAACACAAAAAAATAAATGAACAGAATTAGAAAGGGGAAAAAAAAATTCATTTTGGAAAAAAAATACAAACCTTTCTTCTGTGTCTATTTCAAGATGCTTTCCAGAAGATATAATCAGATACCACACAGATATACTACATAACAATTATAATACCAAAAAGATTAAAATCAACATAATCTAAAACTAGGAATTGGTTACCAAAGCATAGCACGCCACATAATACAACAGCACACAGTTCTTCAGATCATGATATAAGCATACTGACACGGGAACAACCACACTACCCCGTGTCCCACTCACAGTAGAAATCAAGACACAGTAAGAGACCATGCTGAATATTCAAGTATCATAGTGGTATCAAATTGTTAGGCTTTTCTGTCTTTTCTAAGTTTTTTTATAGAGGCTGTATGGCTTTTGCATTGGGGAAAGTAGGTAAAAAAAGATGGTATGGTTGACAATAGGACATGTAATCTAGCCAAGGAGGATATGCCTGCCAGTCACTTGGATTTACAATAGGGTAAATCCCTATTTAACTGTGACAACTGTGAAACAATGATGGTCATTTGCTGCAGGAACACAGTGGGGTCCAGGAGCCTGCGGGAAAGAGCTCAGGACCTAAAGCCAACCCCCTGCCTGCCATCAAACCTTTCAACAATGTGGGCTGTAAAATTATACTTATTTCAGCCAACATCCCTGGAATCATCCTTATTTCCATCAGCCTTCTCCTCCCTATTCACTCCATTAGGAAATCCTGCTGTCTGATCTTAAAAACATCCTCTCCCTTTCCACCTCCTCCAGCCTGGACCTGGGAGTATACACCAATCACATCTGTCTCTCACACATGCCAGGCACTGTCCTGTGTCTTAGCAATGTGTTCACATCCCAGAAGGGACCTGTATCACACACAGGCACAAAATCAGGGTTCCTTGGTCATGGAATAAGGTTTAATCAGGAATAAATGGTCTTACCAAACTGAACTATTCAATCCAGAAAATAATTTATGCTATTACAAATGGAGAGAATAAAGGCTTTTAAAATAGTTGCTCACTGCTAGAAGAATTTTTCCACACCAGTCATTTTGTAGCATCTCTACCAGACAGCAGGAAAGCCTACCACTTAGGTCTCAAGGCAAGGCAATCGACTCAGATGGAGAGAGGGAAGCAGGTCATATCCCAAAGGCAACGGCCATGACTCAGCTGTGTCTGCCATGGTTGACTGATAATCTGTCCTCCTGCTCATCCCCTGCTGGCCTCAAACCTAGCAATATGCCAGGAGTGGCTCCCCCCACCGCCAGGGCTGTGCAGCACTGATTACCACTGAAGTACCTTGAGTAGGAAACAAAGGGGTATCAGAAAAGCCTCTGCCTGCTATCTTTCCCCTAGTACACGATATACAGCTGAATCTGAAACCTTTTTTTACTACTTCCTTTAAGACAGAGAAAGAGAGAAAATGTTACTACTTTAAGACCTGATTCTTGGCCCCCACTGGGGGGGAATAAACAAGTACAGCAATAAAGTGAACAAAGAAATGACTGCTGTGGACAGTTCTACAGAGAACAGAGTGACAGGACAGATTCAGCCTGAGGTGAAGAAGGGGGCAGGGAATCCGCAAGCCACTGCCAGGAAAATCAAGCTGGAACCCACAGGAATAAAGCAGCAGCCAGCTCTTTCAACAGCCTACACGAATGACTTGAAAATGCAGTGCTCTGACAGATGTACCAGGAGTAAGAGAAGGTAATACTCACCCACTCCGCCAAAGGGCAATGCATTGAGTGTAAAATGCATGATGACATCATTGACTGTGACACCACCACTGGATGTCTCGTCAATCATCTGTTTGATGAGCTAAGGAACAGACCAGAGGGGTCCTGATCAGTGACACCTGAGCCTGAGGGTGAGCTCGCTGCTCCTCGCAGAGTAGGCTGTGTGCTCCAGGAACACACGTCCTAGCTGTGTACACCAGCAGAAGTTCTAAGGCTTGGGGACACTATGTCAAACCTTGTTAAACCATGTTAACTTAACAAACACAATTGATATTTAACTTCTCAGATGTATACCTAGTACAGGTTATACATCTGAATCTGAAGACCCAAATCAGAAATGCTCCCAAATACCAAACTTTTAATGTTCCAACTTGATGCTACAAGTAGACAACTGCATGCCTTGAAACTTCATCTCATGTACAAAATTATGAAATATATTGTATAAAATTATCTTTAGAATATGTGAATATAGTCTGTATAAAACAAATGAATTCTGTATATAGACTTGAGTCTCATCCTTAAATTAATCTCACTATGTACAAGCAAATATTCCAAAATCTGACATCCAAAGCACTCCCTGAGCCCCAGTACTTCAAGCTATCCATGAAGGGATTTCACCCTGAACCTCCGGGTCTGTCATGAGAACACCTAGAGTTGTACTCCCCAAAACAGAAGCAAAGGGCTCTTTATAAGGGACAGGTCAGAAGTATTATTCCTCAATCGCTACTCTAAATTACAGCAGATGATGAAAGGTATCAGTCTTCATGAAATGCAAAAAAGCTTTAGGATCCTAGATTTAGCATCCTATTTCTTAAAGAAAAAAGTGGCTGGTTAGCCTAAGAACCAAAAAGGCACCCTGACACTTGACTAGTAAAAGTCATTGCACCTACATGACTTTTAGCCAAAAAGCTCTGGACAGATCTTCACGGCAAGGGAAGGAACCTCACGTGACCCACTGCTGGGAGATGCCCCCAGTGAGCTGCATCCTGGCCAACAGACAGCAGGCCTCTGGTTTCCCACCCACTGTATTATCTATGGTCACTTTATACAGCGGGTCCCTGTTGTATGAATGACGGTCTCTATTGGGTCCCCCACATCTGTCACACTTCAAGTATCTGTAGCTAGCTGCATCTAATTAGCATTCTAAGTTCAGAAACTGTGACATGATGATACACTTCCACTTCACCACCATTTCTCCAGAAAATGTCGGGCCTATGAACTTCTCCTACACACTGATCCTATCCTTCCTCTTTTCGCTTCCTCATTCTTCAGAACCTCCTTTTCCACATGGAGGCCACTGTTCATTAATAGCACTGACAACACAAAGGAGCTGGGCAGAGTGGCTCCATCACGTGAAACGGCTCTACCAGTCTAACAATCACGTCATTTGAGACACTGAAAGCCAGGATATCACAACCACTCACAGGCCAAGTCTTCACCCTGTTTGGTTCCCTGTGAGTCGCCGTGATTGCCACTTTGGTCAACGGCTTAGGTAGGCTCTTACAGAATGAGCCCTGTGGATTCATGTCAGTAAAGCATTGCACACTGGCACACATAAGTCTTCTAACTGAAACTGTTTGTGAGTCAAATGCTTTGTGATACTCATACTTGTGGACTCTAATCTAATCCCAGGGAGTAGGAGAAAGGTTACAAAGATAAGCTTGGGACCTCATAACCCAACACTATAAGCTATGAGTACAAGCTCATTAGGTGGACTTTGACAGACATATAAGCTATTATTTACTTTTCAGCAAAGAAGAAATACGGCCCTTAAGCACAATAGTGAGCTGTTCTCTAAAAAGGTTACCTTATTGTTGTTAGAGAATATGTAGAGAGCCAGGGGCTTTTCACGTGCATTTATGAAGTCTATGGCTTCATCTGCATTTTTCACAGGCACTATTGGAAGAATTGGTCCAAAAATTTCTTCTTGCATCACCTTGGACTTAGGATCAACATCAGTAAGTATCGTTGGGGCTACAAAGAAAATAATGAAATGAAACCACTAAAGTAGAAAATAAAAGTGACAAACTCTCAATATACCTGTTTCACTGAGTCACCTATCACTCCTTCCCTCATCTAAGTTAGATCTACTTTTTTTTAAAAAAAAAAAAAAAAGTCCTCTTAGCATGTGCCAGTTCTGTGTTTGATTTCTAACACAAGAGCCCTGAGTGGGGACTGAATGATGCAAAAAAGTCTCTTCAAAGCAAGTGAATCAGAGACTTGCACAAACCAAGAGAAAGACACATACACAGATCTTTCTTTTTTTCTTGCTCACATTTAACCCTGTTCACAGTCACAGGCATACTTAACCAGAAGTTATATTTACATCCTTTCAAATCTTTCTGAGCATAGTCTGAGTCAAATCAACAGTGTTTCTTCTTAACTCAAATTCTCTGTATATTGTCTCATTGACCTTTACTGTAACCGTTAAACAGATTAAGACTAACATGCTCAAGGGGCCAGGACTTCCTCTTCAGTTCAGAGCTCTGTCTACAAAGGAAAAGCAACAAACAAAGGAAGAGTAAGAGGGATGCTGAAGAAGCTGCACAGAGGGCCCCGGCGTCCATGCCAGTGTAGGGCACCTATCAGCAGAGCTCCATAAACACAGTGCATCATCAACGAAGAAAACTCTAGCAGTAACACACTGGCTCTTCCTCTTTCCTCTAGTTTCTACCAAGTTATCTGCACAGTATGGCAAAGGCTAGCTCTCTGCGGCACGCACCACGCGCACATAAGCTGCTCTCCAAAACCCACTGCCCCTGTCAGGTCACAGAACCAGTCTGGTTCGGACATCCACCCACTGTGCATAATCATGTGCTCAAGCAGAAGTCCTAACTAGACCAAGCTAATCATGACAGACTCTTCCTCTTGCCACTCGTTAGCCTAGCGAAGCTGGCATGCCAGAGATGGGGACACAGAAAGATGAAACAACTGGCATTTTGGGGGTTTTTGTTTCTGATGGTATGACTAAGCCACTAAGTTACCCTGACCAGGAGTGCTAAGGACTGCTCATTATAAGAGAATAAACTTCCCATTATTTAAATCCTTTACACTTTTGCTTTTTGCTGTTGTGTTTATTTTATGAGCCAAGTTCTCGCTATGTAGTCCAGGCCCTGAAATCACTATGTAACCCAGGCAGCAATCTTCCTGTCTCAGCCTTCCCAGTGCTGAGATTATAGACATGTGCTACCACACCCAGCTCCTTTTGTTTTTATAAAGCTGGGGGTTTCGGGTGATTTGCAGCATTCTACCTGATAAGGAGATTTAAAAAAGAAATTTGAGGTAACTTTCTTTAGTCACTTGACTATGTTATTTTACAAAATTCATAAAATTCCTATTGAATAACAAAATTCAAAATAATACATATCCATGGCAAAAAAAAAAATCAAAATATACAACAAAAGTAAGCCAATAAGCCAAGCATAATAGAGCAAAACATGTCTGAAGTGGTCGTGTTGGCTACTGCAGAATTGTGGGGAACCTATCTCCTCCTTCATGCTCCCATTCACGAGCCAGAGGTAACTATATAAAGTTCTACTCTGCTTTGCAAATGAGTAGAATTCAGTTGAGGAAAAAAATAGATAATACATGTATAAATATAAAAAACTAGTACAACTAGGTAGTATTATTAAACACGTATACATATAACCACTTAATAGCTTTTACGAAAAGTAATAGACAAAATATTCAGTCGTTTAATAATAAAACACTATATCAATAATAGTTCACTTAGGATCAATAAATAGAATGAATATAACCACCAAACCGCTATTTTTCCACAGAAAAGCTTAAGTTCCATTACCTATGTAGCGGGTGGCCTCATCAGTCTCCCCACCAAGAGCTATCTTTTGTCCTTCAAGCAAGCTTTGTACCCTCTTAAAATGGCGAAGATTGATGATCCTTTCATAATCAGGAGATTCTTTTATATTTTCTCCATAAAATTCCTATTGAAATAATAACAAATTATTTGTCACCAAGACCCATTATTTCAATTCCCTTTAAGTACAAAATTCCTCCACGCCTACAAATGACCTGTTTTTATATCCACAAAGACTCCCACACTGCCCTTCCCCCGATATTTAACAGTACTACAGCAGCGAGCTTATGCTTTAGGGCAGCTAAGGGACAAGAAAATAAGTCCCCTCCTCCAACAAATCTATGGCTTCTCAAAGTTCCACGAGGCTCTTGGGTCTCTTGCTGTCTCCCCAGACACCCGGGGAGTGCGTGGGCAGTGGGTGTCAGGGAGGAATCCTGGCTCTGCAGCTGGCCATCCACTTGTCCACACAGTGGCTGTGGCTGCTCTTTCCCTGCAGCAAGTTACAGCAGAGAGCTGCTGAGAAGATCTTCAAACCTGAGATTTACTATCCGGCCCTTTACAGAAACTGTTTCACTCTATTCTGTTGGTCTGTGTCTTCGCTGGACTAGTTTTTCCACCAGTCATGGATGACAGTGAAACCACTGTTAGGATACAACTTCCAAGTATCATACAATCAATATTCATTATGTAAAGCAAACTATTGAATTGTTACATCACTTCAAAGCCTGGTAAGAACTCTGAATTTAATCCCAAAGAAAAAAGAACATTATTCACCCACCCTCCACGAGAAGGCAACTCTCAAGTCTGGGAGGCAGGGATTAGCCAGGCACTTGCTAATATGTGTTCGGGGGTCCCAGGTTCAGGCCATCAGCAACAGTGTTCAGTACTGATTGCATCACAGGGTCACCTAGGAGACCTCAGACCATCTGAGTCAGAATCTTTGGACGATAAAGACTAGAAACTCATTTTTAAATGGCTTTCTAGTAACTAACATGTAGTTCCACTGAGAACTCCATTGTTGGAGTATAAACGCCTTAAAAGAGGGGCTCTTCTTCCTTCAGGACTAAGTTCATTACCGTGCTCAACTCAGCACTTCTCCGGTGCCCACGTACTTTTACCCTCACAGGTGTCATCACGCCCTCTTCCATCCCAGATCCCCCATCGCTGGCCAGCTTTCAGGATTCCCTTGTCCAGATCCACCACCAGGTGCAACCCTGATGTCTAATTCTCACTTCAAGATCTTAGCACTTCATCCGATCTTAAACATCCTCGTACACAATTTTCATTCTCTGATCCTACATTACTCTTGATATTTTTGATCTTTCCTTTAAGTGCTCAGTTGTTAACAATGGTTGAGTAAGCAGTGACTGCTCCAGGAATTTCTCTTGGCAAGGGGGCTTAGTGATCCCTAGCCCTGAACTAGTCGCACTGGTCATCCTCTTCTTTTCCACCAACTTAAATCCCACATTTCCTTCAAGTCTTAGTGTAGGATACTACCACACACCCTCCTTGGCCCCCCACACACAGATCTTTAAACATCTGAAGAATCTGACAAGTACAGGGCATACCACAGTTGGCATTTGAGTAACTCACTCCTTGATAATACTGGCCATCCTGAACATACTGATGACCAACTTTAATCCATAAAGGCCAGGATGCCCAAAGATTTTCTGGTTATACTTCAAGGAACTGGCAGCATCTCGCAAATCCACAGACACAGCAGTTTAACTTGTCTTAAAATGTATTTTACAAACAACTACACAGTTTAAGTAGATTTACAACAACCTACCCTCGCTCCCACTCTGTAGAAGGTACAGAAAGCTTGTCTGTACTGTTCTGTCCTTTGCTAGCTTGTAAGATAATTCAGCCACATATAATACTGGGATTTTCCTATGGGAGGAAGGGGCAACAACGCTGCCTACAAACCCTTGTCTTAAGGAAATAAGCGGAATGAGATGGCTTGAACACAGACCTTCACAGTTTCCTTAATCTTCTGCACAATTTGATTCTGCAGGGAGGCGTCACAGAGAACGTAGTCGGGGGCGATGCAGGTTTGGCCACAATTCATCAGTTTTCCCCAGGTTATGCGTCTGAGGGGGAAAAACCCAGAAGAGCTGAATAATTCCGTACAATTTATACTTGTCACATATGTTTTTGTGCCATTTGAATGTATTCCAACCAAAATGGATTAAAAAATTTACCTGGCAATTTCTGACAAAAATAAAACCATCTCTAAAACACTTGGTTAGAACGTAAACTGCATTTTCCAATGCAAGGAAAATATTGTAAGTACTATATAGGAAAGTTTTCAGCATGCAGAAATAGTATTTGATAATCAGCGAAGCTACTGCAGGAAAGTGAAAAAAAAAAAAAAAAAAAAAAACATCGTTCCAACACCCCTTTCCCTCTCTTCTCCAGCTAACAGCTGCCCTGAATCACAGGAGTTCAGTTCAGATTCTACCTCCTCTAGCTGTGGCCTTAGGACCTGCTGGTAAGATGTCCAGGGTACAGCTAGCACCTGCAACCACTTCCCTCTACATGGAGTCTTACCCACTGTGAAAACCCTAAGTATGGACACAACACCATGACATTTATCATGGTCTTTTGTTCTGGCAATCCCATGCCTAAGACCAGAGCCAACCTGAATCCTGCCCTAACTCCTCGTCTTCCCCTTGGCTGTGTCTGACCGGGAAAGAAAGCCACAGCACCCAGAGCATGGGGGCAGCTCCAGGTTTTAGTACTTCCTGACAGATAAATGTGGCTCAGCAGAGATGACCTGAAACCTTTTATTTTCTAGTTCCCAATTGAAAGATGGTATTCAAAGTTGAAAGATGTGTAATACTGATTTTTGCCAATAAAAGATCAATATACTGGGCCAGCGAGATAGCTTGGTGAACTAAGCACCTGCTTACACAAGCACAGGGACAGGATTCGATCCCCAGCACCACATGCAACGCCGGCCCCGCCCCCAGGCATGTGGAGCCAGCCACTGGGACCAGGCATGGTGGTGCACACCTCTAATCTGGGGAGGCTGAAAACAGGACAACCACTAAAAGTTCAAGCTGCATAGTAAGACCCTGTATCAAGTACATAAAAAAAAAGATCAATATACTTGGCTGGAGATAGCTCACCAGCATAAGTGCCTGCCTGGCAAATACAAGGTCCTGAGTTCAATGCCAGTACGAAAAAGAAAAAGAAAAAAAAATCAATATCTTACCATTTCAATTGAGGCTATAAATATTTTATTAGGTATAGGCAACACTCTGTATTATCTACTTCCTGATTCTTAAAATTTCTTGCCAGATTTATCTGTAATCTCAAAAAGAGAAAGACTGTTCCCAAAATTCCTGACAACCTGATAGAGGATATGTGATTCAACAATAACAAGACAGTTTGTGCAAGACTTCTGCTCCTCATGGGCACATCAACTGCAAAAGCTTAATGAGAGATTTTGAAGCCATAAAAGGATGGGGTTCAAGAGCAAAGGATAAGAGGAAAACCCTCAACTGTGCAGAGAAAACCTCAGAAAACCAAAGCCAACCTCACCTGCAAACAACATCTAGGTCACAATCTTTATCAACATAACATGGACTTTTCCCTCCCAGTTCAAGGGTCACAGGGGTCAGATGCTTGGCAGCAGCTGCCATGACAATTTTTCCAACAGCAGCACTTCCCGTATAGAAAATGTGGTCAAATCGATGCTTCAGAAGCTCTGTGGTTTCCTCGACACCACCATTAATAACAGCATACAGGTCCTCAAAGAAAGAGAAACATACGTTTGTACTGCCAAATAAATCCTTTGCTGCCACATCAGTCATTTCTTTAACATGACAGTGAAGTAAAACTGGAAGATCGAGACCAGTCCCCACGAGGGATGAAGAGGGAAGCGACCAAGGACAAGCAGAGAAAGTTTGCTAGTAACTCGGAACCATCAGCCAACATGAAACTAACTAGAGAGTCTAATGTTTTTAATCTGAACACAATGAAAGCAAGTGACTGTATGTGGGGACCAGGGACATGCACAGGGTGGGTGTGGTGTGGCACAATGAGGCACAGAAGAACTCAAGTGAGAAAGCAGCAGCTGTCCAGATGCACTGAACAGGTCACAGCTGCGTAGCTTAATTTAAATGGTTTGGGCGTATGTTGTTGTTGTTGTTGTTGTTATTATTATTGTTGTTGTTGTTTTAATGCAACACAGAGCAGCGCTTAGCCCAAAGTAGAAACCAAGTTCCTGTCTGCTGAACGTATACCTGGACTGAAGCTGGGCTCGGCCACTCACTAGCTCTTGCTACCTTAAGCAAGTAACATTTCTGCACTCCAGTTTTTCTTGTTATTGGGAGAATTCACACAGCTTCTCTGAACTAAGCCTTTAGATGCACTGTGCTATTATCAGCAGCTATTCTAAAGGGGAAAAACCACTTTGAATAATAACAGCATGCAAAGTAACAAAGGTGCACAAGTGGGAAGGGAGACAAGGAGAAGCTTAAAATATCCTGAGGCGTGAAAACAAAGCAAAGCTGGGTGTGGATACTGCTTTTCCACCTGATCTCCTGCGCTTCAAAAGGCTAATTAGTTCTTACCAAGTTTAACCACCTGTTTCAAGTTTTGACTCTTCTATGACTTAACCTAGAAAGCATGTAAGACTGATTCCCTGATGAGCTAACAGAAGCAGGCAGGACACTGCCATCCTCCCCTCCAGACAGAGTCAACCACTGAAGAATCTACCCTGGCTGGGGAAAGCAGAACCAGCTGCTGGCTCTAAGCCCTACCCAGTCCATGACATCTCTCTATCTTCCATTTTATCCTTCTAGATTGGATAACCACAACTATTAGAGCAAAACTGTTCTGTGCACTGCCATAATAGTGACATGAAAACAAAGAACAGCATTATTCAAGGAGCCAGAGTTAGTCTCAAGGCCATTGCAAATTAACATGTCCAATACAGCGCGCATACTTGTCTTTTATTGAAAGCTAACGAAGACTCCTCCCTGGGGCAACTGTCTATACAAATTCAGCATAAACTTCCTAGGGGACAAAGAACCTCTGATTCAAAGTAATAAACCACCCCACAGCTTGGGAAATATTTTTCTTTTCTTTTTATAATGCATTTAATCAGGGTCTATAGGATCTCACTACACAGATCTGTCTCATAGTGATCCTCCTGTTTTCAGCCTCCCAAGGTCTGGGATTTACAGGCATGCGCCACCACACCAGTCTCAACTACAGTCTCAGCACGCCCCGGGAGCAGGGCTGGCACAGTGGGGATCGAACCCAGGTCCCTGCATCTGCCTAAGCAGGGGCTTTAATCCTCTGAGCTATCTGGCTGACCCTATATTTTTCTTAGTCTTCAATACTCTATAATGCCAGCACTTTAATCGAGCGTAGTTCAGGAAGCAACTTTTTTTCTGTATTTTTCATATCACAAACATGCAAATTTTAAAGCTGACGTTCTCTGACATTACGTTATAATAGAAGAGAAATTGTCAGTGACAAAAATGCTAGCACCCAACACAGTACCTGCCTTTCATGAACTAATTCATTAAATGAATAAGCCTAAGATCATGTCAGTGTAAATAAGGATTAATCTGAAATGCGAAAAGGTAGAATATCTGTAAATAGCAGAGATACTCCTGAAGCCATGGGCCTAAACATGCTATGTAACCAACATAGCTGGGCTATTACACAACATACTTTGAAACAACTTTTATAAAGCCCATTGTTGGCAGTGTAAAGAAATTGCAAACAGCATCTTGCAAACAACAGCAGCAAGAAAATCAAGTGGGTGTTTTCTACAATAAATAGCTATGTTGAAAACCAGTCAATGGGCCAAGGAGATAGAGATAGCTCAGCAACATAAGTGCCTGCCTGGCAAGCATAAGGTCCTGGGTTCGATCCCTGGTACCAAAAAACAAAAAAGAAAGAAAGAAAGAAAGAAAGAAAGAAAGAAAGAAAGAAAGAAAGAAAGAAAGAAAGAAAGAAAAAAACAGTCAATAGTCTTACCAGACTACAGAGACAGCTCAGCAAGCACCTGCCTATGCAAGCATTAGGACCTGAGTTTGATCCCCAATACCACATACTGTGCCAGCCCCACTGAGCTATACAGTGAGACCCTGTACCAAATACATTAAAAAAATAGTCTTACCTGGTCTAAATACTGAGGGAGGAGCTTGGTTAAGATGTTGGCTGTACTTTCACTTAATTCAGAAGGCTTGACAATTGCAGCATTTCCTAAACAAAATAAAAAGTAGAAGGGTATCATTTAATACTTTAGTAACTGTAATAATTAGCAAAAATAGTGTTCAGGCAGAAAGTACAGGCTAGGTACAGTACTCCACTTATTTCACGCCACCAACAACAGGTTCCATCATGCTCCATCTTCTATCACTCTTCTCTTACTTCTCCCTTCGGATTTTCCTCTCTGCCCTCAATCAGTAAGTAAGCAGGCTATGTCAACACAAAGCTGTCCGTCTGGATCCTCCAAAGAAATTAATCTCTAGTCACCTGCTAATCACCGAAGCAGCATGCTCCCCATAACCTTTATTGGAATGAAGAAACTGGTCTGGTAGAATCAGATGGTTGGCCCCAGCCAGACAGCAGCTGAAACCGTATCAGAATATGGATACCTCACTCCCAATTCCTCTTCGGCCTACAGAATCAAATGCCTTCCACTTTCACAGGTTCATCCCTGAATACCTCAAAAAGCAATCATACAAATATCATATATATATATATATATGCATCTCCCCAAATTAAATGCATTAAATTAGCCATCATCCTTAGTTTACAATCAACATGAAAAAGAATAAGTCCCTTTAGAAAGGTATAAAAATAGAACTGGCACCTCACCTGCAGCGATGGCTCCCACCAGTGGATGCAAAGAGAGAACAAATGGGTAGTTCCAAGCTCCAATAATCAGCACGACTCCCAGAGGCTCTGGTCGAACGCAGGCCTCATCCAGCAAGGTCAGCATGGTCTTCTTAGCTGCTTTAGGAGTAATCCACTCAGGAAGATTTGCCAGCATGAAGTCAATTTCTGTAAGGATGGTAATGACTTCCTGACTGTATGCGTTGAATTCAGTCTGGTAAAAAGGAAAAAACAGTTAACTTTGCTGAATAAGTATGATATATGTACCCTTGAATGTCAAAACCTCAGGCCAGATACATAAGCTTTATCAGTCTAGTTATTTTGCTACAGATTGATTCCTTTTGCGCCTTCTTAAAATTCCTAATAGTTGTGATGCCTCTGAATCCTTAAACCCTTTAAAATGAGGCTTAAACATTACTTCTTTCAGGAAGACGTCTCTCAATAATAGCCCCTGTGAGAGGGACTTTCATAGCATGTGCCAGGGATCAAACTGCGGTCCCCTGTGTCTGCCTAACCTTGCCTAAGCAGGTGCTTTAGACCACTGAGCTATCTCACTGGCCAATACACTGGTTTATAACTATAGTCACATTTTATATATGATGTTTCTAAATTAAGTTTAAAACTCTCAAGCCAGGGATATAGTTCAGTGGCACAAAAGCCTGTGTAGCAAGTGCAAAGTCCTGAGTTCTATTTCCAGTACCAATAAATAAATAAATAAATACATACATACATACTCTCAAGAGAAGAGAACTTGTATTTCTTCAGTTAATTATATACACAAATATTCGATACTTGAAGGAATGCTTTACAGGCTTTGAGTCTTAATTTCTCCATCCTTTTAACTATTATATCCCCTCTCCACCAAAAGCACTTTAAAAGAAATTTTATAGTTACTACTGTTAGTACTATTGCTATCACTACTACCCGAAATAATCTCTTGAGGAAGGGATAATCACAGACCCCACGAAAGGCCTTACTATGTCTGAATGCACATAAAAAGATGAAACATTGCTAGCAAATACAGAGGGTACTGTATATACCTTAAACATTACTTAAAATTTTTGATATTCGAAGTGTGCTTCCAAGAGGGAAGATTAGGTATGTCTGGAACCTCATCAGAAACTTAGAATCTCAGAGGTGGCCCAATAGCTCAACGGATTAAAGCGCCTGTAAGTAGGCATAGGGGCCCGGAGTTTGATCCCCAGGTGCACTAAAACAGCAATTGAGACTGGGTATGGTGGCACACGCCTGTAATCCCAGCTCTGGAGAGGCTGTAAACAGGTAGATCACCACGCAGGCCCTTCCCTAAAATAAAAAAAAAGGAGGAGAAGAAAGAAAGAAACTTAGAATCTCTAATCCCACCCAGACAAACTGAACCACAATTCAGAATTTAACAAGATCTCCAGGTGACTGTCAATGCACCTGAGTCCGAGGAACACTGACCTAATACTGTCCTACACAAAGTCATTAGGAAAATTTGAGAGTGAAAAGATAACCGAAAAACACCACTGTCTACAAAGGAAAACAAAGATAAATGTCAAGAAACAGGCCAAAACAAAACAAACCTGCCATATTTAAGGCTAAAAAATTACTAAAATCCAGGAGTACACACTGTTCCTACAAATCACAAGTAAACGGACCCTAAATGCAACAGAAAAATGGGCAAGACGGCCACAGACACAATAATCACAAATACAAAGATTAACTCTTAGAACTACGTGTGTGATACACAAATGGGCTGGCTCTCTGCAAGACTGGGGAATCGAGGCAGTCCGCAGCAAACCCGCTTTTCGTCCGCGCCGCTGAGTGGGATAATCCCACAGCGCTTGCGTACTCCGAAGGCAAAAAGCACCAGCCCGGGCGGAAGGCGCTCGCAGCCGAGGCGCCGCCGGCCGCCGCCCAGGACGCTCCCCGCAGCCGCGCGTACCTTGCACAGATCGGCGCCGATGGCCGCCAGGATGTCCTTCTCGTGCTCCTGCACCATCCTCCGCAGGGCCTCCAGCTGCTGTCGCCGGAACTGCAGGGGTCGGGAGCGGCCGGACCCGAACGCCTGCCGAAGCCGCTGGACTTGGCGCTCCATGGCTAGTCCCGGGGAGAAAGGCGAAATGCCGGGGCGCTGCGGCAAAGGTGCGTCGCAGGCGAGGAGACTGGGGCGCGCCCGCCGGTGCCTGTCCTCCTTCGAGTCTTCGCCTTCCGGCTGGAGGTCCCAGGGCACCCGGCTCGGGTCCCACCTCTAGCTAGCCCAGCCGCCGCCACACCACCCACCAAGTCCCAACGCCTACCCGGTCCCCGCGGAGCGCCGCCCGAGCCGCGCGCCCATTGGCCCAGGAGGGCCACGCGACCGAGACGCCCCGCCTAGTGCCTCGCGTCCCGCATGTGAGCTGGGCTCGGAAGCCAGTGTCAGCTGACCCTCGGGGCGGTGCTCCGCGGGATGGGTGCAGGGATGCTGGAGTGCAAGGAGTAGGATGGCGGTGCTGGGGAGAGGAGCGTCAGAGTGGCTTCGGTGAAAAGTACCATAGTCGCGAGATGGAGATGGCGAGCCGCTACGGGGAACCAGGCGCCAGACAGGAAGCGCCCGGCGGACCGACCTGGAGGGGTGTCTGCTTCCTGCGCGCTCTGCGGCTGTTCAGATGTGGCCAAATCAGACAACCTTGATGCGTGGAGCGGGGCGGTAGTAGTGCACAGGGCCCACCGCACCGCCTCCTGTGTCTGCAGCTCCCCTCAGCCCCTGCTCCTTCCTTTAGCAATTTAGCTCCATGAACTGGATGCAGTAGGAATACATCTTGAGAATTCCCTCCACGGTTAGACCTCTCTCCTCTAATCCCAGCATCTTGCACATAGACATTGTCGCCCAGGCTTGTATTCCCCCCTTCTCCCCAAATTCTACCAAGTGTGCAGATTATCACTTTTCTGCTCTTCTTTATAGAACTCCGAAGAGGGAGCTCGCACCACTCTGGTGCTCCTATTCCACGGTGCTACTCCAGCAAGAGGTGACGGGTCTCATCTTGCTCTACTCAGCAACAGTTGGCAGGGCTATCATTCCCATCTTCTGGGATTTCTTCGTTTTCCATTTCCCTGCCCTTTTCTGGCTTTTCTTTTAGCCCATCTGAATCCTCTGGATTTGGCTTTGCTAGATCTTTCTCCTTTGCCTGACCTCTTAAGTGTTCAAGCACACTAGGGCTTACCCCTTGGTTCTTTATTCACACCCTCTTTGTGTGCTAGCCTCGTGGATAGTGCTCAGAGAAGGGTCAAACCCTAACCTTGGGCTGGAGAGATGGCTCAGTGGTCTAAGGCACCTACTTAGAACAAGCTTAGCAAAAGCATCAGGGACCACGGTTCAATCCCCCAGCACCACATGCCAGCCAGCCCGCCCCCTGGTGGGCTGAGCTGGTCTCTCTCTCTCTCTCTCTCTCTCTCTCTCTCTCTCTCTCTCTCTCTCTCAAATAAATAAATAAATAAAATTTAAAAAAAAAAAAAAAAAACCCTAACCTTTCCACTAAATCCCAAAGGGTATATCCAAAGGGTATATGTAACTGTATCATACTCATCTCATTTGTATTTGCAATAGGCATCTTAAATTAACTTTAGAACTGTTGATTTATTCTTCACCAGTTTTACATACTGCATATTTCCACTGTTTCTTTCTGAGTAAGTAGGACTGTTCTTTAGCCCATTTACTCAGGTCATTGAGTAAATTGACTCCTCTCTTTGGTTTGTCTTCACACTGCGTCTTGCTGGGCATGGTAGCCTATGCCTGTCATCCATCCTGGCTACTCCAGGGAATTGCAAGGTGGAGGCCAGTCTCAGCAATGTAGTGAGAACCTGTCTGAAAATTGAAAAGTAAAATAAATAAATGAGAAAATAAAAAAAAAATGAAAAGTAACAGATGGGGGTGTAACCCAGTGTATTGAAACATTCTCCCTGGCCCCATAACCAGTTCCAGTCTTGTTCAAACCATAGTCATTTTTTTACCATCATAACTGTCTCCCTGCCTCTCCTATTGATTTTTGGAGATTATGTTATTTCTCAGGTCTACACTGGCCCTTTTATACTCTGTCTTGCAGGGCCTGGGATTGTGTACCACATTTCCTAGGGTTCCATATTTCCTGGTATAGCCAGCTCTTTCTACTCTGAATCTTATTCTGAGGCAACACAGAAAGACATGACAATAGCAAACAGTGGGAAACTGATGGGGTGTGTAGTTTATTAGAACAAAAAGGAAAGTTCCCATAGTCGGGAGTGGATTCAAAAGACAAACACCACTGATGTTAAAGTCCAGAGCCTTTTTTGCAATTTTGTGGCATGAAAGTAAAGAGAAGTCAGGAAGAAAGTTGTTGCTGTTTGCTGCTGCCAGGCTTTTGACATTAAAAAATCAGGTTGTATTATTTCCCTTATTCTTTGGCATTCCAACTCTCTGGGCTTCTTTTTTCTATGGGGACTTGTCCTTTGCATTCTAATTTCCCAAAGCTTATCTTTTGCTGACTTAGATCCTATTTGTTTTAACTTTCCTCAGTTGCCTGAAGCCCTTGCCCTGGCCTCCTTATCTTGCCTCCTATCTTTGGTTTCCCATAAAGTTCTGCCAGTAAGAAACACGACCAGGAAATCCAAAGGCTGGAGGAAGAGAGTAACTTTCTGCTTCTGGATTCAACAGTATGACAAGTTTGGGCCATTGCTGTAGTGGGAGTGGAGGTAGGCTTATTCCTAACTGTGGAAGTTCCTTCCTTGGTCAAGATGGTGCCTAGTAGATGCACAATAATAGTGACAGGATCACCAAAAGGTACAGGAACTGTACACCCCACACCTTCCAGCTGAGGCTATTTTTTTTTTTTAGCAGCTCATGCTCTCCAACATTGTTCTGTTATTTCTGTTGACATCTACTACCCTTAAATTTTCCTCTGCGTGAAATGACTAGATTGGGGAATCTCCACATTGATCTCCACAGTGTGCATGCCACTTCCACCAACAGGGGAGAAGGGTTCCTTTTTCCCCACAGCCCCACTACTGGGATGGGGGGAAAGGGAAAAAGGAAGGGAGGAAAGATAGGTTATGCACACAGCTTAGCTAGGATACTACTAATTTCTATTAGTTCCTTAAAAGAAACAGTGCTTATATTGCTTGATCGATTTTGCACGCTTATACCTGGTAATCTGAGCAACTACTTTGAAGATAACAATATACAATAAAATAACTATTGTTAATTTCTTATCATCTTGTTTTGGAATTCTGTGTAATCTCTCTCTCTCTCTCTCTCTCTCTCTCTCTCTCTCTCTCTCTCTCTCTCTCTCT